AAGAAAAAGGGAAAAAAGAAAAACCATTTTGAACCCAAATAAATGATGACTAGAGAGAATATTTTGTAAACAGAAGTGATAGGAATTTTTTGTAAAAGTCCCAATACACACCAACAGATAGTTTGACATTTGATACGTTTAATTGTATGTTTTTTTTCAATAAGTTGTGAAATTAGTGTAATTACATGTATATGAAGCTGTAAATTCAAGTTGGCTACACACTGACATGTTACATTCTGATGTATAATCAGTTGTCATTATCTATACTCTTTATTGTTAATACACTTTTCTTCTCTTGTCATTCATGGCACTATCAGTTGTCAATTTATGTGCTGATATGAATTTGGAAAAATGTGATTTTAAGTTACATAATATCATATGACGTCATATAATGTCATCAATTCCTCTAAATTAATACATTTTAGTTATAAATGTGATAAAGAATTGTTATTAAAAGTCAATTATCACTAATAAAAAATTATGAAATCACTTATCATTAATGACACATTCACTTGTTAATGGTAACACTGTGACTTGTCAATAACATCATTGTGACTTGTTAATTTATGTGCTCATATGAATCTATTTAAGTTTTGAAAAAAAACTGTCATTTAATTAACATAAATTTCAATAATACATTTTGATTATAATGTGATATAAGATGATATAATATTTCTATTTTAAGTGAAATATAATTGAATTTCAAATTTGAATAAGTGTTCATTGCGTCAATTGTTAATGTTTGCATTATAACTTGGCAATTTCCTTATTAATATATGTGATTTTGAGAATTGTTCTACCTTTTATTTTAAAGAAATAAACAATATAACAACGACAGGACATGAACACCATAAGAATTACTGTAAACAAAATTCAATATGTAAGGATCAGGTGGTTCTTATTGTAAATCATAGCAAATAAAGTAACTTAGGCCAACAAAAAAACTCATGTATCAGTCTAGACATTATATAACTTGAAATTACTTCTTTAAAAAAAAAAATAACATCAGCTGATAAATTAGCAAGTAATAGTGCAACAATTAACAAGTTAAAGTGCTACCATTAATAATTGAATATGTCATGTGAAAAAAAAAAACAATTGAATGTGTCATTAGTGACAAGTGATTTCATAATTTTATATCTGTTAATAACAATTATATATCACATTATAACCAAAATGTATTACTTTAGAGGAATTGATGATATTATATGAGGTTATACGACATTATGTAATTTAAAATCACATTTTTTCAAACTTATATCAGCACATAAATTGACAACTAATAGTGTCATGAGTGACAAGTGAAGAAATGTATATTAACATTGAAGGGTGCAAATGATGACAACTTATTGCATATCAGAGTAAAAAATAACCAGCTTTTATTTACAGCTCATATACATGTAATTACACTAATTTCACAACACATTGCCAAAAAAAAATGCAGTTGCATGTGTCCAATATCAAACTAACCATTGGCGTGTATTGTGACCAAGGAGAAAAAAATCAGATCGGACCGGACGATTCAACCGGAAAACCGGTGAACCAGTCTGAGGTCCGGTCTGGTTTAGTTTAAAAACCGGTCTCCAATTAAACCGAAACAACTCAGAATGAACCGTAATAAACTAGCAAAAACTGAACAAACTGCTGGCTTGACTGGGTTGGCCGGTTGGCTTTTTCCCCACTTCTTTCTTGTTTTCACCATTCGCCGGATGTCTCGCCGTTTGTGGAGACCATGAACACTACAGAGACAAGTGGTAGAAGTAGAGTAGATCATTGAGGTGAAGGAAGACAGAACTTACTTTGTGTCGCTTTGAAGCATACTTGTGAAAGACTAGAAGGCAAGTAGAAAGAAAATAGAGAGAGTGAATGAACGAATAAAGTGCAGAGAGAACAAATGGTGCCATTGCTCGCTGGTTCTCCATTTGAGAAAGAAAGAAGTGAGAAAGGTAGGAAGTAATTTGAGAGGACGAACAGAGAAATGACTATGCGTGTTCAAAGAGGCAAGATGCTCTGCTCCACCGCCTATTCCACTCTGCTGGTCTGCTTGTTCAGTGATGCGTGACAGAAAAATGCAAAAGTGGAGCAAGGAGTACGCGTGGGAGAGAGAAAAAAGAGGGAGAGAGAGGAAAATTTTATTGGGTGAAGTGAAAGAAAAAGAAAGGAAAAAAATAAAAAAAGAAGTAAAAGAATTTTATATACGTGGACATTTATTTTAATTATTACCGGTTTGATACGGTCTAACCCCGATCTGACCCATTAACCCTTAAACCAGTATCTCGAGCGGTTCATTATCCGGTCCGGTTTTTTATTCCTTGATTGTGACATTTACAAAATAAATACCTATTACTTCCATTTACAAAAAATTCTCTCTATCCGTCATTTGTTTAGATTCAAAATTGCTTCTTTTTTTTTTTGCCCTTTTTCTTTTTTTGCCTCATGTGGTTGCTTACCTTTCTTCATTATCTCTTTCTCCTCCTTTTGTAATCTTCACCAATAAGTCAATGGCATAGAAGGTTATGGTTTATGTTTAAAATATAATAAAACCAATTAATATAAACCTACATGACACAATTATCATTAACAATTCAAACAGATATATTAACAACTATCGCAACCTATATTGATAGCACATTTTTCTATTTCCCAGTAATAGATTCTATCCACACCAATCTTTATCTTTTTCATCAATTCCCATTGAATCATGCCAAAATAGAATGAGCTCACTCTTAGTCCACCCACAATATACCTGAACCCATAATCACCCTATCATTCCGTCATAAATCCCAAACTTAAGTGATCAAAACACACACAACCAAAAACACAAGCAATTTTTGCTAATAGTTGATGCGAGTGGCGTGGGCAAGATTTCCTAATGGGAATGGGGAAGAAACAAGATGAAGTTTGGGTTCATTTTTCCTCTTGTCTTTTGCTAATAAAGTGTCGATTTTCAATTTGGAATAGAGCAACTTTTAGCAGCTTTGGGTTGCATCTTACTAGGGACAGAGATGTTTTTTTAAACTTCATTGAATTACAGTCAGGTCCCTTTAGGACTTCAAATTTATTATCAAGTTTTTTGAGGCCTTTTTGCTGTATTTTGTGTTCCGTGAGACCTCAATGTCATTTTCTCAAACTATATCGTTTTAGGTGTAAAGACAAGTGCTGAACACACTTTTTTTTCCCCAACCCAAACATCTATTACTCTAGAATTTTTTTCTAATTGTATTCAGTATACTACAATAATTTTTGGTATAGTTAACATTCTAAAATGTTTTTCCAATAGCACCCAATATCTTGCTAGCTTCATCTTGAAATATTTCGTAAACTAATTTGAAGATATTGGATGTTACTGAAAAAAATAATATAAGGTATTGGATGTATTAAAATTAGTTTAGATACTGAGTGCTATTAAAAATATTTTAAAATATTAAGTGCACTTAAAATTAATTTAAAATACTGGAATAACTGAGGGGGGGGGGGGAAAAGGAGGAGGGGGGCAGCGCCACTCAAAACGGTGCAGTTTTGCGTAGATGAGGGGTAACGGTGAAAAACCTTTCGAGGCTTTTTCTCACACTCCTCTTGGATCCAACTGAGGATTCATAGATCCTCTTACTTTGGTCTGGACCCAAATTCAGTTTTGGACTTGTACACTAAAACTACTATTTTACTCCTCTCCATCAGTATTCAAATCTGTGCTTAATTTGGAAAAATTAATCTGAGGCATTTTATATGAATTTTTTTTACCTTAATTAGCTTTCTTGGCTCATATAATTATTTTCTTAAAATTTTTCTGCCAAATGATATCCTCTAACCATTTTTCCTTCAACTTTTAGGAAAATAGGCTCTTAATTCTCAAAAATTAGTTTTAAAATTATTTTTAACTATTTCTCGTAAATAAATTTCTTCATAAACTTTCTAATCTTCCAAAATAATATTTCATAGATTTTTCTTAATGTTTTTAGTCCTTTAGATAATTTTAATAATTATTTTCTTTTTTGTTTCCTTAAAATTTCACCCAAAATAGGTTTTTAGCCAAATATACCTTTCTTAGACATTTTCACCTTAGATAATTTACTTAGGCCTCAAAAATATCATAAGAACATTTTTCCTATTTTTCTTGAATTTGCTTAATTTTCTTGGCATTTTCAATAATTATACTTTTGGCTCAATATTTAGTCTTGTTCATACTTTTTGTCCTAAACTTCTCATTTTTTTTCACCGTTTGGCCTGACTTATTTAATCAATATTCAAAAGTGAGGATGTTACATATTCTATGGTTTCTTTTTTAAAATTATAGGCCTGTTTGGACATATATAACGGTTAAAAGTCACAGATGTTATTATCAACAAATAATCTATTCAACAGTTCACTTAACAACCATAAAAAATGGCTTCTCCGACTCAACTTTTATCCACATTTTCCATATAACTGTCGAATTTAAGGCATCATTCTTCCTTTTCTTGTAGTACTGTAGTTATTAAAATAGTGCCCATAATTTTAAAAACTTTACTTAAGTATGTCAATGAAGGGTATTCATGTAATTTGACCACTTTAACTCATTTGCTTAATTATGGGCCTGTTTGAAACTGTGTTCAAAAATACTTATAAACATATATCACGTAAGTTGAAACAAAACTTCTCTCACATATTTATTTTATATTTCATAAATCATGATTAAAAAATTATTTATAAAATATTCCAAACAGGCTCTACATCACTCAAAACATCCTATACAAAAGAAATGATTTTCTTATCTAACCAACACATTTTATCCCAAAAATAAAAACGCAAGTAAAATTTGTACGAGAAAGAAAAGAAAATAATGGAAAATTGATTTTGACAAGTATGTTAACAACAGTATATTATTCCATTGAAGCTTGTGCATGTGGCCTTGGATTCAACTTTCAATCCCACCCACTGTAGTTCTAAAGCTTCATCCGCCATTTTCATATAATCTCCAAATATCTCACTTTACCCCAATTAAATGGCCTTAAAATTAAGTACTACACTCTTGTTGCCGAAATCAAACCATTTTCCTCTTCTTCTTCCTCCAATGTTCTCTGCAATGTCCTCTCCCTAGCCTGTCTTGCCTGCAAATTATATTCAAGCTCTTTCACAATGAGAACATTTCAAATAAGCACTATTTAAAAGTTCAAAAGTTGCTTCAGAATCTTAATTGCTCAAAAATAAAAGGTCAATTAAGCTTCAAATTTCAAGATAAATTGATGTATTCTTTTGAAAGTAATATAATCATGAAGAAAACAAACCTCTTTTATCCAATCTGTATGACCGATTATGATCAATAGCACAATCACTTGGCAGATTGTACCAGTCGTTATTCCAAGCCAAAGGCCTTTTCCTCTCATGCCTACCCAGAAACCCAATATTGCAGCCAGTGGAATGCCAACCACATAATAAGATCCAAAATTCACATATGCCCCTATGTGCTGCCACCCACTTCCCCTAGCAATTCCTATTTAGCCAAGAAACAAGATTTCCAAGAACAACAAAATCTGAGTTTGATTATAATAAGAATATACTTTTGTTGGGATCGGAATATAGTATTAGAATGAAATATTTTATGTATACCTGTAAGGGTACCTTGTAAGGAGTCCACAAAAACAGACATGACTAACAGAGGAGCTATGTCTTTCACGTAATGTATCACTTCAGGCTCACTGCTAAAAACATTACCCAAAACATTACGGCTCACAAAAACGATTGAGCTCACTAAAAGAGCCTCACACGTTGCTAGAATCCTAGAACATAAAGCAGATACTCGCGCCGATTCTGGACTTGCAGCTCCTAATGCATTTGAAACTCTTGTGCTGAATAATAATATCGTCCACAAGAATCACGCATGAGAAAGAATTGATTTAAGTGAACATCTAAGAAGCCACACTATTTATATATAAATCATTATATCCATAGGATTGGAGATAACATTTATAAATGAAAACATATAAATAGATTGACTGATCGATGTTATGTGATGCAAACCTGGCTGCTGAACCAATTGATTCTGGTATGGAATAGATTGTAACATTCATTGATACACTGGTCATAAGATTCAAATTTGTATAGAGAAATAGTTAGCATTAAATCATTATTGGAGTGCAATCAAAACTACTTATGATGGATTTTAGAAACCGAAAAGTTTAGAAAAAGCATAAATACCAAACAGCTAAGATTGAAGTTTCAAGCTCTGGGTTTGGCCTTAGAAGACCAGCGAGCAATGTCGTCACTTCATATGACCACCATTGGAGGCTGAAATATTTAGTCATCGTTATCAGTATATCAATATTCGAGGTATAATGTAAAATATATAGGAAGTCATAATTGTTATTTGGATTAGCCAGAAAAGTACCAAGCCATTATAGCTGAAGGAATAGCGAAGCGAAAGAACTCTCCAATGCCTTGGAAAAGCTCCATAGATATAGGAGTCCGAGTCTTTGCACAAGAATCAGAGAATTTCATATATAACGCAAGCAAGATCACATTCAACCAATATGAAATACCAATGGCAAACGCTCCGCCAAAACGACCCATTCCAGATTTAAAAACCATTGTCCAACAGAAAACTATGTGGAAGCAGATGATAAATGAAGAAGAGAGAACAAGAGGGGTGATCAAGCTCTGCATAAGATAGTATCGAACTAGGGCTTGAAGTATTGCATACCCAAAGAGCGCAGGAATCAAACAAACTGCAAATTCGCCTGCTTCATGTGCAATTAAAGGATCTTGACCAAGTAAAACCAGCAGCTTCCCCAAGTTTAGCCACAAGACACACAGAGGAAGACAACATAAAATAAGACAAAAGATGCCAGTTTGAATTTGAACACCAAACTTCTTATATTGTTTAGCTCCATAGGCTTGCCCACATAATGTTTCAAGTGCAGAAGCCAATCCAAACTGTTATATAAAAGTACAAATTACAAAATCCAAAATGCAAATATTAGATATCAATCAAAAGTACAAAACCCCACAATACAAGATAAAGTTGTTACTCTTAAGTAAAACAATAAGTGACTTACGATGACGCTAAAGCCAGTGACAGCACAAAGTGAAATGGCAACACCAGTGCTAGATTGAGCAAGTTTTCCCAAGTGACCCGCCATCATCAAAGCGATGGTTTGCAGAAAGAAGGTTGACGCATTCACAGCCACCATAGGCCCTGCTACACAACAAACTGCTTTCACTTCTTGAGCAAACACACGCCATGTTATGGATAGATGATCCTCTTCATTCACCAGCTTTGTTTTTCTCCAAGAGTCCCTTTTCCATTTTTCTTCCTCTGGCTCGCTCACAAGCACTCCTATAATAAGATCTTCAATGTTGAAATACTATAAAAGTGTTAACATATTAATGATTAAGATAATAAAACTTTTGGGGTGCTTTTAGTTTTCCTCAATTATCAATTTAGCCTCTAAAATTTAATTTTTGTCAATCAAGCTGTAAAATACGCCCTTGCGTTGTCATTGCGAAAATGACTGATTATTGAACCATATCAGAACGATGACTAATTTTCAAAAGCTGGTGTAACAAATTAATATATTTTTAACTTTGTATATAAATAAATTAAATTGAAACATTTTATAGAAAACGTATTTGAATACACGACCGAGTAGGTAATATATTAAAACTATGCAACTACAATAGGGTACTGTTTAAATAATGCCATGTTTAGTTGGATGAGGTGGTTTGATGCACTATGTTGGTCTTATTTATAACACAGATTGAAGAAATTTTTTAACCTAATTACAAGGCATGTCAGTAATTTTTTGTCGCTAGTTCCCTTTTATTACCTAGGTAAAGCTAAAAATTTATTAAATATTTATGGTTGGAGTAATGAACCATAGTTCTAATAGAACATCTAAAAATTCACTTATAAGAAGCATCATCAAAAGGGTACAATAACATTTAGAGATCATCAATACAAGAGATTTTGATTGCTTGCATGGACAATCTGCTCCATGGACGGAGTACGAAGAGTCTAACAGCACGCATTTTGGGATATAGACACACCCGTGCAAATGAAATTAGGGTCAAACTGGATAGTTTAGCAAAAGTTTAAACGTGGAGAATTTTTGGTCTTTTTTGGGTGGGGGGTTATAAATTAAATAAAAGGGTTAATAAATCAATAAGCAACTCATGTTTCAAAGAATAAATAAAGAAAAATATTTGTAGGTCCCACATAAAAAATTAAATATAAGTAGATCCAAAATTTTTATATTAGGTGAAGTTATAATTTTTTACCCTTGATCTTATTTCTTAAATGCATTCAGCACCCTAATCTATTTAATGGTGTAATTTTATCCATAATAGATCAGAGTAAAATTGCACCAAAACAATCATGCGTAAAATTATACAATTGAAAAATTCGAGATATTGGATGCCACCTAAGAAAAAGATCATAAATAAAATTACACCTTTATCTTTTATATTTTACAAAACGAACTTATATAATTATAATTTGACTTGCTCCATTTACAAATTAATCAAATTTAATAATTTATGTTTACAAGTGAAATTTCAATATTTACAAGTCATCATTTACAAGTTAAACTTGTAAAAACAGTTGAATTTCTCATGACTTATTAGTATATTTAATTTTCCCAAAGAAATAAAGTCGCTCACACCCACAGCGCATGCCGTTTCACTTCCTGATATGGTTATATATAAGCAAGCTAAGAATGCATGTCCTAGTGTTGAAGTTCAAAGCTGTAATCTAACGCAAGAAACTTTCTGATTCCATAGTGGGAGAAAGGGATAAGAGAGACGCAAAGTTTTCTAAATGTGAAGAATATGAAATTACCACAAATAAGCTTCTGATCGATAGCGTGATCTTGAAGATAATGATCCCTAGCCAATCCTTTGAAGCAGCTCGGCAGCTCTGAAAATGAGTTTAGAGAGTGATGAGGGAGATGAAGATGAACAGATGGGAAAGACACACACACACACACACATGTAATGGCGCGAAGAAATGTAGTTTTAAGGTCAATAGAGATCTAATCAGACAATTAAAAATAAGCCATGTGTTTCTTAATTTTATCATTGTTCACATTACTTTTGTATATGAAATATCCCTTTAACCTTTTGAAAAGGAGGGGAAAAAGTATGAGTAAACCTAACCTTTTAGGATGAGTTGTTTATATTTTAATAAATGGATGGAATATATAAACTAATAAAGTATAATTCGGCAGATCACCGGAGATTGCTCAAATCACACTCACATGATATTCTCTGATAACATTCCTAGTTTCATCGATCAACGAGATCATCAGATTAAAAACATCCTTCACTGAAACAGTCCCTAATTTTGCGCTGTTTCTATATATTAATGCTGTAATAATATTCGTTTGCTTCTGCTTCCTTTCTTTTAACATACTTATTTAACAACTAGCTGGTGTCCTTGATGAGTCGGGTTGTTTTAATTAGAATTTTTTCATTATAAAAATTTAAATTAAATAAGGAATTTGATTATTGCCCTCTCTGGCGTCTAGAGTATGTCTAGAGAGAGTTTCTTAAAATATGAGAAATTACGCGTTTTTAATATATATAAATATAGTCATTCTAATGTTATAAATAAGGGGTGTCTCCCTCAGTCACTATTATCAAACTCACAAAGTGACTCTCCAAGTTTAACATTTTGATGTTTCTACCTCAAAAAATCGTGTCAATCTGTACTTATAAACTTGTGTTTGCTGTAAATTTAGCTAAACTCACAAGTTAACTCTCCAAGTTTATCATTTTTATGAGTTGAGTGAGTCAAACATGTATTAAATAGAATTTAATTTACAGAATGTGTAAGAAGACCCGGTTCCCAAAAACAATAGAAATTAAAAAAACAATAAAAGCTAATATTAATATTAATACAATCTTTAAATTTAATAGAAATTTCTATGTTGAGTATAATAAAATATGAATATTAATGAATTTAGTTTAAAGAATTTAATATTTTTTCATGATATTTCTTTATTTTTAAAAGGAATCTTTTTATAGGACTCTCCTATTAAGTTTGCATGTTGAATATTTTATTTTTTTTATTTACAATGTAATTTATTTTTATTAAAAAAAATTTCAATGACTTGAATTTGAAATATACTTAAACCAAATCGTTGCCATGTTTTGCATAGTAATCATTTAATCCCATGCTTTTAATAACTATTTATTGAAAAAAAATAAATTCATAAATTTTTATGAGTTTATGATTCGAGTTCATAATATGAATCTAAGTTCTTATCACGAGTTTGTTTAAATTTATGAGTTTCACAATCTTGTTCTTAGTTATTTCTCGCCTTAACTGTTGAGTTTTTCTGCTCTCGTTTTTCACTTTCTTTTTGTAGGTGTATCTATTTTGTCACCCTACTGCGCTTTATTCTTTTTGGTCTTCCGGTAGCTGGCCTGGCTGTCTTCCACTTGGAAAGTAACATCACGTAAAATGATAGAAGACAGAGCATGATGCCTATAAATCATATACATTGTGTAAAATTGAACTTTTCATAAAACTGTAATATTAACTAGATGTCGTTCTTGCTTGGATACACCATATATTCTTTTAACTTTTTGACCATTAACAGATTTGTTTAATTTGGAGGGAGCAGGGGGTCGTTGTAAGAGAGAAAAGGGAAGGGAGGGCCATTGGCAGATGAAGAAAGGGCAGTAGCTTGGCAAAAGCAAAACAAGAAAGCAACGTGTCGAAGGCTAATGGAAGAAGAGAAGAAAGAATCACATGGGAAGGTTCATAAAGCAAATGAGTTGGGTTGTTCGTATTGATCGATTAATTCTTAAGTGGTGAGTGATTGAAACTAAATATAGAAAGGAGGAAGGAAAAAGTAATTAACTGTACTGGTGTTTGGTATTTTATTAGAATGGCTATATAAAGAAATAAGAATGGGAATATGAAATGAAAATTGGAGTGAGAGTGAAAGTGAAAGTGAAATGAGGAAACCATACTCCCCATGTTTCTAAATGTAAAGTACGGATAACTAATTTGAAAAAATTAAAACAAAATTAATTCAATTATTTATTAAAAAAAGTGGACTGATTTATCTACAATATTCCCTTTTGATAATTTATATTGAAAACTACTACCGTTAATGAAAAACCCCACAATATGTGTAATTAAAAGTAGATTAAGATCTTATATTTATAACTAAAATAAATTTTTTTATTAGTTCTTGTGTTTGCGATGGAATGAAGTATGTTGTATGCATCAAAAGTAATGTTTGGTATGATGGAAGTGTAAAGGAAATAGAAATGAATACGGTGAAAATGATTAAAACATTCTCAGAATGTGTTTGGATAGACGGATTTTGATTTTAGATTTAAAACGTCAGATTTAAAATATTTTTTCTGGATAGTATAAAAATTTCAAGTTCAAATACTTTGAAATTCTAAGGGTGTGCACTTAAAATAACTAGGTTAGAGTGTGCACTTAAAATAACTAGGCTGGAGTTCAGTTAAAAAGATAACTAGGTTAGAGTAGGGATTTGAGATTCCAAAGACTTTGCAGCAATAAAAGTTACCCTCGATTTCGATTATAAATCCAAATCCATAAAATTTTTGTCTAACCACGTAAATACGTAATAGATTTGGCCCAGATCCAAATTCAAATATTGATATTCCTTAATCCAAACACAATGTTATCTTAGAAGGTTTAGCAGAAAAATAATAGAAGTACTTGATACTAAATATAAGATTTAGATAACTAATTTATAAATATTAATTAAAAAATTAGACAAGTTAATTATTTATAATAAATATTTATTTTATTAATCATGCACATTAGAATAAAAACCCTTTAATATGTGTAATCACCGTGAGGATTACTTTGAAAATAAATAAATAAATATAGGAAACAAATATGTTAGGACCTTCATTTACTGCTCATCATAATGAGTACCGTGTGACGCTGTGATACAGTCTCTAGACCATTCAAAATTTAATATGACTAGTTTACATTTAAAATTTTTAATATGTAATTTTTTAATGATGAATTTATTTTAAAAAGAAGTGTTAGTTATAAAATTATCTTCATTCTGAATTCTATATCTATTAAAATAAAAATTTAATTGAAATATATTAAAAAAAAGTCAAATTTAATATAAATCATACAAAACCAATTTGAATTGTCTCAATTAAGATTAACACTTCATACTCATCAATGTGATGAGCATGGAATGTGCTTCCACAATTATGGGGACATGTTGATATACCCCACAGGTTTTTCCATAGGCCTTGTTAGGAAGGAGAATTTGGCTCAAAATGTTTCCATGAATGAGGCAAGAAATGATTCTAAATTATGCCAAACTTTCCCCCTTTTCTCCCGTTTCCTTTGCTTTACAATCTTTTCCTTCAAACCAAACACACAACATAAAAGGTCAAAGGTGAAGTTATGTTCTCCAGCTTTGATGGAGGGAGCGAGCAGCTCTGTGATCAGCTAAAGCTAATTAAAGCTGATCCTTATAGGCGTATTATAAAAGTCATGACAACTTAACACTTTTCTTTAGTTGAAGGGTCTTATCTCTTATCACAAGGAAATGAGTTTGGTCATTTGAAGTAAAGACAAAGTCCATGTGAGGATTTACCAACCCACCACTTGATTATTCCCAACCAACCAAAACCTAATACTAATAAAACTCCATCATTTAAAATCTATTTTATTTAAGTTTGGCTCTTTACTTTGATCCTTAATATTAGTGTTTTTCCATCACTTGCATGCATGCACCTGCCACTGCAAGGGTGTAATTTTAATGACAAGTCACAGTATTAATAAATTAATAGTAGCACCAGAAACAGCTCGGAGATCTGCCATATATACTGCTTCAACTGAGCAGAAAGCGATAGATTGATGAGTCATAAATAATAATGTTACCCAGCTTATAAAAACAAAAATAATAATGGTATTCTCATAAGGAACCCTACGGACAATGATTTAGGTATGCCCTGTCTAACAAACAAAGCCGTCATTATATGACTTTGCAGTGTTGGACTGCCACTGAACT